TTTTTTGAAAATAAGAAAAAGTTTTGGATGAGATTAACCCCTTTTACTGTGCGGTTGTATTTGTCGTATAGGAGATACCGTGTTTGACGTATCTATACCCTAAATTCTAGCGGGTTCAAACAAGCGGGAAAGTGGTAGGCCCAAGTGAGGAAGGGGGCTCCAGGCAGTGTGCACCATATAAAAAAAAAACGGGGAGCCAGTGGTGCTTTGGGGAAACCAAATTTTAGTGCCTTTTTCAGCTGTCTAGCGGAAGAAATATGTGACTTCCCTGCAAATCGGGATCTTTTTCTTCCCAATGTGTCTAACACAGTGGGAAAGGGAAGAAGACATTTTATGATTTCGAGGGTTTGAGACAAAAACAATGGAGGAGGTGGGGGGAGGAGGAGGAGGAAAAAAGGAGGGGAGGAAAAGAGGAAGGAAAGAGGGGAAAAAAAAAAAAAAGGAGAGGAAGGAAGGGGGGAAAAAAAGGAGGGGAAAAAGGGAAAGGAAGGAAAGGAGGGGGGAAGAAGGGGGGGAGAAAGGGGGAAAGGGGGAAAGAAGGGGGGAGGAGGAAGGGGGGAGGAGGAAAGAAGAAGGGGGTGGGAGGGGGGGAAAGGGAGGGAGGGAGGGGAAAGGGGGAGGAGGAGGAGGAAAGGGGGGGGGGGGAGGAAGGTGGAAGGGGAAGGGAGGAGGGGAAAAAAGAAAAGAAAAAAAAGAAAAAGAAGAAGAAGAAAGAAGAGAAGAAGAAGAAGAAGAAGAAGAAGGAAGAAGAAGAAAGAAGAAGAAAAAGAAAAAGAAGAAGAAAAAGAAGAAGAAAAAGAATAAGAAAAAAAAATAAGAAGAAAAAAATAAGAATAATAAAAATACCAATACCTAATAATAAAAATTTAATAATTGTTCCCTTGAGGCATGAAAACAGTTCACCCATGACGTGACAAGAAAAGGGGGAGATAACATTGATAAAGCTGACCTTTTGAGGCGTAAACGAGGGTGGAGGGGGGGGGGCAGCTGTCATGAAGAGAAAGGAGGAAGGAGGAGGAGGAGGAAAGGGGAGGGGAGGAGGGGAGAAGGAAGGGAAGGAGGGGAGGAGGAGAAGGGGGGAAAGGAGGGGGAAAGGAGAGGAGGAGAAGGAGGGAGGAGGGGAGGAAAGGAGGGGAGGAGGGAAGGAGGGAGGGGGAGGAGGGAGGGGGGAGGAGGAGGAGGGGGGAAGAGGGGATGACGAACAAACATTTTTTGTCTGTCATTTGTCTGTCTGCCAAAAACCCCCCTGTCAAACCGTCTGCCCTGTCCAGAAGAGCCAAACTGGCTCATATTTTTACCCATCTTCAAGCAGAGTATAGAATTTTTTCGGGTTTTTTTGGGGTACTAGGTAATTTACATATGTATGTTGTATTTTGTGTCCCTATGAGAAGGTAGACGAGGAAAAAGAGAGACAGATTGAAAGAGATAAAATGGGGAGAAAGAAAATTTTAGTAGAAGGAGGGGGAACAGCATCCCCACCCCATTGTTTTTACAGGTGGTAGGGGAGGATTGAGACAATATGTCATTTTGACAGCTGCCAATCCTGACCAAAAAAAATTATAAGCCCAAAAGCACACAAAGACAAGTTGCGGGAAGGGTGATAATAGCAGTTTTATGAAGTATTGTGACTATTATGTGTTAATTTTAGAAAACCCGAAGCAAGAAGGGGAAAGGGAGGAATGAAGGAAGGCTGGAGTTTACCCGGAGGAGTTTCGGGGTCAATGCCCCCACGGCCCGGTCCTTGAACGGGCCCCCCTGGGGGATAGCGCCGATCAACCAGGTGTTGCTGCTGGTGCACCAAACCAAGTACGAGCACGCCGGCCCATCAGGAACTGCTTTAGGTGCTTGTCCCGTGCCAGCTTGAAGATGCAGGGGTCGTTGGTAATCCCCCTTTTTGTTGTGGGAGGCAGTTGAAAGTCTGGCCCCCGAACTTATTTTATGGTCTCTTAACGTGTAGTGACACCCTGTTTTCATTGGGGGGGGTGGGGGGGACGTCTGCCAGTCTTTTGCTTTCGTGTGAGTGATTTTCGTGTCAAGTTCGGTTTCAGTCCCCCTTTGGGTTTTCCAGGTGTTTTAATTTTGTATCTCTTCCCCCCTGGTTCCAGGATACAGGTTAGAAACCTCAGGGGCTCCCCTAATTGAGGTGTTTTATCCCGTTATGCGCGCCGTGAAAAATTCTCTGTACATTTTTAGGTCGGAAATTTCACCTGCCTTGAAAGGGGTGTTAGATGCAGCAATATTCCCGCCTAGATAGAACAAATGACCCGAAGAGTGTCATCATGGGCTTGGCCTCCCTAGTTTTTAAGGTTCCATTATCCATCCTGTCATTTTTCTAGCAGTGCATTGAACAAAGTTTTGGTCCTTGAAAGGTGAGATCTCCGACATAATCCTCCGGTCTTTTACGTTTGGGTTTTTGCTCTTTTTGTGGCCAGAAATTTTTTTTGTACCCGATGAAGATTTAATTTCCTCATGTTTACCTATCGAGTAATTTAAAATTTTCATCGTTGAATTAAAAATTGTTTTCTGCAGCCACTGAAAAATTTGGTTGAGCCCCACCCCATTCTCAATAAACACTTTCACTTCCG